CCATAAATATCAAAGATAAACACAAATTAATGCATTAAAAAAGTCTGGATGTTACGTTTAAATTGTTAATTTATCGCTATCAATGCAATGTTATTAACAATTTTAGTATATCATGTAAGGTTGTATTATTATTTTTATACGAATGCGATACTATTTTTTTTTTTGAACTTGTAACATCCCAAAATTCAAGACTAAAAATTTCTTTTAATAAAACATTACTTAAAGCATAATCATCAATCCAAAACATAATCAGAGTATTAATTTCCAAAACATATGTTCATTATCAGAGTAAAACATTCCCAAGGTGTCTAATCTATGGTGTGTGCCATGCGATCACCCCGAGCTCTTCCCTCCGCTACCGGAAGTACCTGAAACCAAAACTAAAAACCGTAAGCACGAAGCTTAGTAAGTTCCCCAACCTACCACATACCATGCATAACCACATACTGCACATACTGGGCCACACCCGCTATTCTGGGCCTCGCCCCTACCTCGGGCCTTGCCCGCTACAATGGCCCCGCCGCTCCAGGCCCCGCCTGGCTTCGAGCCCCACTCGGATACAAATCTGTTTCACTTAGGCCTCGCTTGTCACTGGGCCCCGCTTTCTAACATAATAAATCATGTCCTGAGGGCTCGCCTACCTTGGGCCTCGCCCTTGTCTTGCTACTAATGAGTCATGAAACCCCATCCATGCTCCTACTGGTAGTGAGTTATAGGCGCAACCCACACTCACGCTTTCCCTAACTTGGGCCTCACCCTTGATCTGCTGCTAATGAGATGTGGAACACCATCCACATTCTGCCATTGGTGAGATACGAGACCTCTCTCACACTCACCTCCCTACCAGGTACATACAACTATCACATAGACAACAAGTATAAACTATCACATAAACCACTCCTTGGGCACTCGCCCGCTATCATTGGACCTCATCCTGAATATCATACTAGCATACTGTGCCTAGGGATAACCCCTGGGTCTTCCACTCATAACTACATGGACCGGGCGGCATTGTGGCCTTAGACCCATTCACACAAATAGAAACTCACTTGCACTTGCTGAACTTGCTGAACCCCTCTGCTGCTGCCCGACAACTCTTCTGAACTGCATCCCCAGTAGCTCCCCGAGCTATCAATACCAATATAACACTTTGTCAAACTGTCCTCCGAAAGTCAACTAAGTCAAGTCTGGTCAAAGTCAAAGTCCTGGTCAAATTCGACCTTCCAGGTCAACCCTACTCATCGAGTCTGCCTACTGACTCACCGAGTTCATATGCTCAGAGTTCTTCCATTCGCGACTCGACTCGCCGAGTCTATCGATTTTCGAGTCCTAACCTGACCAACTCACTGAGTCCCCACTCAACTTACTGATTCGAGTCTTAACTTGAAGGGTTTGGGGTTTTGCGACTTGACTCGCCGAGTCTAAGAACACACTCACCGAGTCCAAGGCAATCTTCAACAGACTCGCCGATTTGTTCATCCGACTCGTCGAGTTCCTCCCAATCTTCATACTACTCGCCGAGTCCACTCGAAGGACTCGCCGAGTCTATTCAGTCCTTCATGCATTCAGAGGCTTTTTGAGTCATGTAGGGACTCCAAACTGTAGATCCACTCTTCTAAGGCCTATTCCTCACGTAAAGTTGTAAACTTTACGTGTAGCTAAGGAGATCTAGGCCCAAAACACTCCATACTCGGGTTTAAGACAAACATGCTTCATCTACACCCCCAAGGCTGATACTTTATGACTCTCTAGACCAGAATACTCTTAGATCTGAGGTAGCAACTTCAGATCTGGACTTCTAACTCTAACTGGCTCTAGGACATGGCATAAAAGCCCCAAATCTCATGATAAATAGGAAACTATGAGCAAAGGAATGAAGGTAATGACTTCTTACCTTCAAATGCTCTGAAAAGTCACACTAATTCTGGATCCAAGGCTTCCTCTTGCACCCCTATGAACTTCCTCCTCTTGCAAGCTTCAAATCACAACACCAAGGCTAGATCTTTGCTCAAAAATGGATATGGTGGCTAGGGTTCGATGTTCTGGATGAGAGGAGTTGTAAAGGAACCTTAAGGAAGAGAATGAGGTGCTTAAATAGTGCACAAGTCCCGAATTTAGGGTTTTCCTCGTTCATACCAGACTCGTCGAGTCCCCTTTGCCGACTCGTCGAGTCGGTCACTTACTCCTCGACCCGGATCCCGCTCAGACTTGCCGAGTTCCTCCTTGGACTCAACGAGTTGACCCTTTGACTTAGGTTTTCTTTCCTTTCTTGACCTTTCTGATTTTGGGTGTTACAGAAATGGTCTCCATATAAACATGAGCAATTATTTTATATTATATAATTATATAAAACTAAGGTTCCCAATTCAACAGTTCTTGCTGTTGATTGGACCACCTTTAATTATTATTTATTTTTATTTTTTCTAATGAGATCAACGTGTGTCTCCACCGCTTCATTTCCGTGTTAGCCAATAAGAATAAGATTGGTGTCGATACATGTGTTAAGCACCATTTTTTTTTTTTTTAATTTTGGATCCGGCCACCTTTACCCCATCCACCGTCATTCATCTTCCTCTCTTTAACCTCTATCAGAAGGAAAATGAGTATCGTCTCCATCATCTCTACCAATCTCCTCAACTTTTAGTGTTTGTGATTACACAACTATCTTTATCGCCGTTCACCCAATCTATATGCTGATTTTAGGATTTAATTGCAGTATCTTCCTTCTACCGCTCCATCTCTTTCTTCCTTCCACAGAAAAGCCCTAACTTCATCCATTCCTCTCCAATAACTCGAACAAAACATGGAGAATTCCATCATCTCACCGGAAAAGATCTAGCACTGATAGGCAATCGGGTTCCTTACAAGGATCTGGAAGAGAGAGCAGCTCGGTTTCTCGCTCCAGTTTCCATTTGTTGCAAAAGAAGGTATGAACAAGTGAACCGAGAAAATGTAGTTTTTGTATCCCCCCCTGTAAGATGAAAATCTATATGTAGTTTTCGCTAAAAATTACTTGTAAAATTCTCGACTCTTGTGTTTCAATGTGTAAATAGATTGGTTATGCACTTATGCTGGTTCATGATGTGTACAGCAGCAACAACAACAATTACTATTCCAGTACTTTTAGGTTTTTCTGTGGAACGAGAAGTACCTTCCTTATCCTGTATTTTTCTGTGTATTCATCGTTCAGTGGATTACACGTTTCAATCGATTCAAATCAATGAAAATTCATCGTTTTAACATGTGTGATTGGTAGAAGAATGAAGAGTAATGCTAACAATGCTGAAATTTGGTGTCGTTTCTACTTATTCTGAGTTTTTGCAATGGAAGAAAAACCATGCTCATAGTTTTCTCTTTTCGTTTACCTCCAAAATTATAGTATTCTCGACAAAAGGGACTTCCACTTCCACTCATGGAGAAAGGTAATGGAACTCATGAAGAGGCAAGTAGCCCAAGTTGGGGTGCTTCATTTTTGGTGCAGACAACTGAAGATGCTTCTGGAACTGCTGTTATTCCTCCTTCTCCTTCACCAAGACCTTCAGTGGTATTCTCATCAAAAGGGGATACCAGTCCTCTTCAAAAGCTTCAAAATCAAGTTTTTAGAGCACTTAAAGGCTTATCTCCTCCTTCTGAAGATAAAAGCAGAACTTACAATCCAGAAGTATTAACTAGCCAAAAACGTCAATGGGCAAGCTTTCAGTTGGATGCCCTGGTATGTAAATATGTATACATGTAAATATGTAATATCTTTCTTTTTTTCTTTTTCTATACTCCTATCTTTTATTCTTGAATCTTGAATTCTTGATGATTGTTTATACTTTTCTAATTTTTTTATAGCATCAAATGATATTGAAAGAACCTTCAAGGCTATTTCAGAGCATGGTAGTGGTTGGATTGCATCCAAATTGTGACATTGACATGACGAATTTTCAAGTTAGTACAGAATCATAATATGTTTTCTATCCTTAAATTTTGACCATTTTGGTCATAAATCACGGAAAATTTAGGGGATTTGTATCATCAGTATTTTCAAATTACATTTTCTAAATCATAGTTGATTATATGAGTAATACTAAAAAGTATTTATTTGTCGCCAGTAAGTTGTAATATATTTTTGACACAAAGGCACTAAATCAATTGGTATGTTGCTCTTCCAACATTTCATTTTCAATCTTGAAATGAATGTTCCCAATATATTTGTCATTTGGCTATAATCTAAGTTCATCTAACTCGATCTACAACTTTTTGTACATTGGATTATGAATACCTCTATATACTGATTTCTTATATATTTGTAGAATACTCTTATCCAAGGAGGCAGGGATGTAGTTTAGATATGGGATAGAAGATGCCTTCGCACAAGAGGATTGGAATCTGGTGTCCTGACCGACCATCTTAAACGCATTACCACTACAAGAAAATAGCCCTTTAATGACGCGCAAACAATGACACTCGCTGATAGACAACGCGCATTTGCAAGTGCCCTAAAAGATAATGTCAGTTTTGCAAAATTTGAAAGATAGAGGGCACGTATTTGTGCACGCCCTAAAATTAGTGTCAGAAAAGAAAAATAAGAAATGCGGAGGGCGCCTTTCATAAAATGTGCGTCATTTAAAGGTGTCACTTTATAATTTTTAAGTGAAACACGCGTTTTAGGCGGGAAATGAAATCGATGAAAATTACCCCCGCCTATTGAACCCTAAAAATTAATCCCCCCGCCTCTTCTACTTAGCAAGAAAAAGCCCTAGGTCCCTCACCTTCATCTTCAGTATCATCAAACATCTCGTTCATCCTCTGCATTATTTCCATCGTTCTTCCCTCTCCTCACTGATCAATACCCAAAAAACCCTAATATCATAACCACTCGTCTTTTCTCGCACAACAAAATCCCAAAACATCACCAAATACTAAATTCCACAAAATCGTTGTGACCATTTTAGCTAGGGTTTTTTTCAAGAACGAAAACAATCTCGCATCTCTCTTAGCTCTGAAAACAATGGATGATTCACCTTGCTTCACCTTTGGTCACTTCTCCTCCAGCGACGTCAGGCCTTCCTCATTACAAATCGACCAACGATAAGCTAATACTTATAACTGAATGGTTTCACTCTCAATTGGGTGTGCGACTCCTCCATCGCACTGATGACTACGAATGTGACTCTTCCACTACACCTGTGATTGCGTTCCCGTCTCACCTCCCTGACCGCTACCTTAATAGGTTTATCTATTCAATTAGATTTTTCTTTTCAGTTAGAAATCGATTTCGTCCCTCCCCAGCTCTTCATCTCTTCACTAAAATCTCTCTTCATCTATCCACTAAAATCTTCACGGTTTCTTTAATTTCACTCCAAGGGTTATTTGATAGCTTTTGTATGGTTTATTCCCTATACTGAATCGCTAGTCAAAACCATTGTGGTGGTTGTGGCGAAATCAAAATGCGGGATTGAACCATTGTAGCAGAGCGATCTTGAAACTTTTGATTAATACTTCTCAAGTCGTCTCCAAGGTAATGTGAACCTCTTGATACTTCTCATGTTGACTCTCTTTTTTTAGTATAGCTATCGTCTTTTAAAATTAGGGCTTCTGTTTGAATCATTTCATTGAACGACAGGTGAATCAGACCATCTTCTCAATTTATTTGACATTGAAGAACAGTGCGTTGAATTTCTTTGTCGTGTCCAATTTATCTCGACCAGATCTCAAGCAGGTTTCAATCTTCATCTCTATTGATGCTCTAACTTTTTTCCTTCAATGGAACTGTGGATTTTTATAAACACTAGCTTCTACATAAACCCCTCTTTAACCGAGCTTGGAAAGACCACATGACTTTCCACATTTAAGAGTTCTTCCTGAAGATGTTAATTATTATTATTAAATATTACTCTCTTCATAATCAAATCATGCAAGAAAATGAAATTCCTTTTATTAATTTTTTTTTCTAATAACAGGGTGTTGCAATGCTTGATATTTCTAATTATGGATGAAGAGTTGATCATCATAGAGATATGCGTATGGATATTGATCATATGTCTTATGAGTATACAAAGATTGGCTTCTTTTTTAGTCAAATTACGAAATTGACCTTTTGTGTATATGCAGGAGCTTCTTGCATTAGGTGAGCAGATTGGGAATGCTGGATCAGGGTTATCAGAGGATTTTATTTCAGGTTATTTGTAAACAAGGGTATTTATGTCTTCTAAGTTGGAAGTTGTTTCATCTGCTGATCAAGAACTTAGTTTCTGCACAATTTGTCAGGTAAGGGCAAATTCGTAAAAAGTTAGGGAAAGAAAGTCTCATTTCTTGATTTTCATGCATGTGGTTTGCTTTCAACAATGGGACGCCTGAAAGAGAGTCAAGTGTAATTTTCATGCAGGTGGTTTGCTTTTCAACATGATGATACGTGTAGCCGCAGAAAATCAACAAGGTGGTGTTGCTGCTATAGACCATGGGGAAATGCCAAATAATTTTAGTAAATTTATATCCTGTTTATGATGGTATTTATTTTTTATGCGTAGCGTAGTAAATAAATATATTTATTTTTTGATATGATATTAGCATGTGGGAATAAAAGCTTGTACAATGACAGGGTTGAGTCTTTTGCAGCAGCAGCTGGAGAGGGTCAAGACAGGTAATTTCAGTTATTAATCCTGGAACAGATAATTGATATGTTTTGGTTTCTTATGTTGAGGGTTTGTATGCAGCAGGGGATTAAAAAGGTGTAGTAGTAGTAGTGATAATATAAATATATTGGTGAGACGTCCTTCATCATCATCATCATCATCTCATGAAGGGGGGTTATGTGAGGTGGAATCAACTTTCAGAGAAAGAGAAACTAGGGAGAACATGATGATTATGGTAGGTGGTGGTGGGTTTAGGAGGACGTAATCATTGAGTGATGCATTTGTGGCATTAATAATAATCATCTTATTAGGAAGCCACCCTCACCAGATCCAGAGGGTGCAGCAGAGGGACACAATAGAAAAACTGGTGGTGGTGGTGGGAAAAAGAAAGGCAAAAAGGAGAGGAAAATCGACCCAGCTCTGCTTGGGTTTAAGGTTACCAGCAACCGTATTATGATGAGAGAGATCCAATGCATTCAAGATTGAACCCCTCCTTTCCCCAAGTTTTGTTTTTTATTTTATTATTATTCTTTCTTGTGGTTTTTATATCTATCTATATGTATCTATATTGTATGTATGTATGTAGAGAGTATTGGTTGGTTTGGTTGCATAGAGTAACTGCATCTGTATGTACCATAGGGTTTTTTCTAGTTCTACTCTTTTTACAGGTGTTAAAAGGTAAGAACAGCGGATAAAACTAGAAGCCTAAATGAAAATTTTGGGGTAAGAGTTCAAATCTGAACCAGTTTTCTTGACAATATCCCATAAAGTAATGTAATCATATACAAATACCAAGACCATTATATTTGTTTACTCATATCCTATGTTATCTATGGTTAGGGGTGGAAAACTGAAAGATGTTGCAGTTGATGCTCATATACGTTCCTACTGTTGGTCTGGTGATCTCATTAGATCTGCCTTTTCCTCTGGTGATTCAAGATTTCCTTATGTGCATTCAAATGAGTTAGTCTTTGAGGTTTATTTGGGTTCTCTTTTGTCCTAATGTGCAGTTGATGCTCATAGGGATTGTGATCTCACCAAGTGATAATTTAAAGAGACTTGGAGTTTTATTTGGGTTCTCCTTTGTAAGCTATTTTTATTTGCAGGCCTTGCGTGTAGCTGTGTTTGCTGATGGAGCAGTTGCAGAAGGCTAGAGCTGCAGAATCTGATTTGGTGGCTGGTGAGGATCTTATTGAAGGAATAAAAAAATGGTAACTTGCACTCTCATTAACTCATATCATAATATTCTAGTTTCACTATCATTGAATTCATTAGTTATGATTCTACCGCTCTCATCGGGTAGCATTAACATAAAAGAAACTGACAAGTGCATTGAAATTAATGATTTCTTTTTTTGGAAAACCTACTTGAAGAGTACAAAGCAAATTTAGAACACTTGACCTTTGATATCGGGTAAATCTATTTTATCCTTGAATTAAGTTTTATCAATTGAAATTAATGATTTGTTGTTTAGCTTGTTATTTTAATGAAATCAGTTTTATTAAAATGAATTTTGTTTATGTCGTGGTCATGATAGATTGGTACACTGAGATGCTGGCCTGGTGGCTTTTGTCTTTCACTGTAAGTGGCTATGTAGTCTTTAAGTTTTACTCTTTCAAGTCCTTTACATGTATAAGGGCTGTTGGAGCTGGTAGACAAAGGCGTAGATACAAGAAACTAATCAACAACAGGTAAATTGTAACTAACTCCAAGTAAACTAATCATCTTAAACTTCAACTCCAGATATGCTAGGTAACCTGGTTGTTTCTGCTGATGAAACAGGTCAAGTTGGTCCTTGTGTTGCATGTCGTTGTCAGGTATTTTTTTTATTTATGATTAAATATATTATTAGATTAGATTTTTTGGTTTTTACATTTCTCAATTGTAGGTTTTAAGGAGTGTGAGTCAATGGTCAGCTGGGACAAGTCAAGTTGAAGAGAGCGTTCACAAAGCTTACATTTCTCTTATTGAAAAAGCTGAACACTTCATCTACATTGAGGTACATCATAACTTAACAAAATATTTTGGTTTTTCGTCATTTTGGGTAATTTTATAAAATACAACTTTTGTTTCCATATTGATCCGGGTAAAAGAAAACCCGTTAGATACGGGGAACCCGATGGATATCCGTTTGGTAAAAAATCCATATTTTTTTATAAATTTGAGATATATAAAAAGATATAATAATAATAATCATGATAACTAAAACATTCAACCTTGAGTGTCACTGAAAAAATCATATTACATGGATCAAAATTAAATTACAACAAAAAATGATTACATATATACATTTAAATTACATCCAAAAAGATTCAATGGATGCAATAAAAATTACAAATAAAAAGATTATTATGTAAGTTGAAAATGTCTCCTAATTCCTGAACATATATAATCATAACCGATAAAAAAAACTGAAAATAGATACAATCATAACCGATAAAAAAAAATGAAAATAGATACAATCATTTAATAAGTTACAAATCCAAAATCACTGAAAATAGATACAATCATAACCGATAAAAAAACTGATTTAGTTAGTTTCTACTTTCTAGTAGTGACAACACGTTTCCATGATGGCATGAAAGTGGTATTAAGTATTTGCATTCTTATTATATTATACCCCTCACATTTTCCCAAATTACCCCTTCCTCTACAATGTTTTTTTTTGTTTCTGTTTATTTTGTGCATCAGGTAAAGTTGATGGAAGAAAGGAGTATAAAGCCACTTGATTTAAATCTTGCAGCATTATCAACAACATGCAGTAAAGACTTTGAGTTGAATTTGGCTAAGTCATTATTGAGTGAGATGGGCCAATGTACAACTACTTATCCATATAATCAACTGTTTGGAGCATTAGTCTCAAAGAATTATGAAAGGCAAGATGCAACTTTACTTAGTTGATATACATAGTAGATTAGATGCAAATCTATATATTGTAAGAAATATAATTGTATGACATTAAATTTATGCAATGGATTCTATTTTTTTGTATATGATATTTTATTTTCTATTATGAAACATTAAATACAAATTTAATTTGAAACTAAGTAAATCTATAAATAATATTTTTTTAAACATTTAAAATTATGATACGCAAAAATGTGTGTCATCTTCATTTATGACATGGCCTTTCTTGACAGGGGCTTTCTTGATACGCATTGCGTATCATTAACATGCGTGTCGTCTTCCTTTATGACAGGGTCTTCCTTGATACGCATTGCGTGTCGTAATTACGCGTCATAAATGAGCGTCGTAAATGCGCGTCGTCTATAGACGACACGCAAAAGCGCGTCGTCTCTCTTTATGACAGGGCCTTCCTTGACGCGCATTTGCACGTCGTCTGCGCCTTTTACGACGTGCAATGAGCGTCGTAAAAGGCTGTTTTTCTAGTAGTGTACATTCATTGATAGTCATGGAGATGGTCATTATTTAATTTCAAATGGAAAAGATCAGGCTATCAAACTCTGAGATACAAGGAAAATGTCCTCAAATGCACGTAGGTATATACATATGCCTCCTTTCTTTCTATCCTACTTATGGCATTTGATATAGATTTTTAGTGATTTATAACTACTGAAAAATAGTAATATGTTTTCTTTTGATGCAACAATATTAGTATAGCGCCTCCTAGACACGTTAAGTGGGATTATAGATGGATGGAATACTCATCACATTTAAGAAAAAAAAAACATCCAAATGATGTATCAGTGTGTGCATATATAGGTCATAGAGCCTTGTGGACACTCATACGATGCTTACTTCTCACCATCATATAATATACTTTTTATTTAGTTACCAGATTATTAGATTATTGATGAATGATTAAAGTTGATATATAGTTGGAATATAATTGTAATGTGTTGGCAGCACTGTGCGAAAGTACATATACACTGGATCGGTTGATGCGACATAATTTAGTAATTTGTTAAGTTAATGTATTGTTTAGATAAAGCTTAGAAAGAGGTGAATGCGAAGGTATGGAATGGAATCATTGACTCCGTTGGAATGAAAAAAAAAAGTTTTGTTTTTGTTGGATGGAATTGAAGTAACCATTCCTTCCATTTCCTTAGTATTCCCAAAGTCTAAAGCTGTTATACATTCATATGATAAACAATTTCACTTCCCTACATTTTTCATGGAAAGACTTCCAACCCCCGCAAAGCGGGGGTTTTTCTTTAGTTTTTATTATATATCTTAATTACTTAAAATAAATAATAAGAAACTGATAAAATAATATGAATATAATTATTTATAATTTAATAAGAAAATAATTAATAAACAAAAACTAATGCTATTGTTTTATGCATGCTATTGTTTACTTGTAAGTGAACATATGTTGTGTTTATAGATTTATCAAGATGTTTAAAGTATGTTAACTTATATAATTATATTTTTATTACTTTATTTTATAATATAAATATTAGTTAAATAAAATTAAAATTAAACATTATGTAATATATAAATATGGTTATATAATAATAAATTAATATAATAAATACATTAGTTAATTATTATCATATTAAATTTTTTTTTTAAAAATCATTATTATGGAAACTTTTAGTCTTTAAAAAATTGCACCATCTAAAAGAATAAAGTCTACATGGCTTTTAAATTTGTTTTGTTAAGGCTCTTGAAAGAGCAGCTGTATTATGACCATGTGATGATATGTTTCTATATCCAACTAATATTTTATATATCATAAATTAATACTAAAGTTAGTGAGACATATTTTGTTTCTATATCCAACTAATATTTTATATATCATAAATACTAAAGTTAGTGAGATATATATTTGGTTTTACAAATCTTGTAATGGTGGGTATAACTTTATCAACTTAGTTTAGTTTGAGATAACGTAGTCAATCTAATGTACGGCGATCTTATCATCTTAACTCTTCATAAGTGAAAATCAACTTTCGAGTAGTTTGCTTCTTTTTCAAACCATACATGTTTGCATAAACAATGCCATTATGGTATATGAAAGAAAAAGAATACATAAAATTAATTTGAAAGTTTGGTTTATTTTGTTTAGAGGTATTTTATAAATTAGTTTATTTATGTCAGGGCCGAAGATACGTTATTACAAGAAGTTATATGCAAAAAAAAAATTTAGAACCTAATTTAAATATTTTGAAGGATCTATTTTAATGTTTTTGACTAAAAGATAAAAAGATAAAACATGCAAACTAGCTAGTATCTATAATACATATTAATTATAATTTATAAGCCTTATATCTTCTGAACCTGTACCACCCACCCATTAACTAAAGACTCGGTGACCATCCGTCTTCTCCAAACGGGAATAACAATGGATATTGCAAATGTATATAACTTTTGGTGTTCAAGTTCATATATATATATATATATATATATATATATATATATATATATATATATATATATATATATATATATATATATATATATATATATAATTAAAAAAAATCTTTTTTTGGTTGCCCTCGTAATTAGAAACATAATAGAATGATATTTGGAGAGTATTACTTTATTATATAAATAATAAAGTAAATAGAAACCAACATAAATGATTTATTGATTATTATGCGTAACGTTTCAAAAATTAAGATAAAAATTCTCATTTTTAAATTAATAAAATTATAATCCAAACATCATCATAAAATCAAGATGGAACAAAATGTATCAAATACATCATGAAACATCAGAGTAATCATAAAATGCAGAACGAGGTGGTGTGTGCACTGCAATCGTCCTGAACTATTTCCTTTCGAACCAGAAGTACCTAAAACATAAACCGAAAATCGTAAGCATAAAACTTAGTGAGTTCCCAAAAATACCACATAATAAACACATAATGGGCGCTGCCCGTCATCGGTCCCCGCTTGGTATACATACATGTCAGTCATCATGCCCCGCCCATTATACATATAAACATATCAATATATAATCATACAACACATGTGATAATCAAAAAGATAATAGTATACAGAATAGTCATCAAGGAAGACCCGACATCAGGTATTGCCCAGTAAGCGTACTAGCACATAACACATGCAAGAGTCACGTAGACATCTAGCATCATAACATAATAAACCATAGGCCAACATTGGTGTCTTCGACCCACTAAACACAATAATTAAACTCACCTCTAGTTGTTGAAACACTCAATTGAATC